ATATCGTCATGTTTCGTCGTGTGGAGCTCGTTATTTTTTGACAATTGTTGATGATTATTCTAGAGCAGTGTGGATATATTTGTTGATTGATAAAACTGAGGTGTTTCGTATGTTTTTTTCGTTTGTTGCTATGGTAGACAGACTATTTTCCCACACAATTATAGTTGTGCAAAGTGACAATGGTATCGAGTTTAATTGTTTGCTTGATTTTTTTGCAGCAACTGGGATTATCTTTCAAACCTCTTGTGTGGGTAAACAGCAACAAAACGGGAGGGTAGAGAGAAAACATAAATACATTTTGAAAGTAGGGAGAGCCTTGAGATTTCAAGCCAAATTGCCCATTTATTTTTGGGGTGAGTGTGTTTTTGCTGCCGCTCACTTAATTAATCGAACTCCTACTCCTTTACTTCAAAACAAAACTCCATTCGAAATTCTTTTTAATAAACCACCTCATTTTGATGCTATTCGCACGTTTGGGTGTTTTTGTTTCGCACTTTATGTTGGGTCAATTTAATTCCGGTAGTTTTTCAGTCCATCGGTAGTTTAAATTAGAAACAATCTAATTTCAATTACATTCGATTTCAGTTTAGGTCGATTTTTATTTTAATCATCCAATTTTTGATACACTAGACATTAATGAATTCGAATTGCCAAAATTAAAAGACACCACCCATAAGAGGTCACCTTCTTATCACTTGTACTACAGTATTTCTTGTCAAATAGAATAAAAAAAGTTACTTATAGTGTCATAACAAAGATGTAAGCATGCACAAAGTTCTTTTTTTTTTTTTCGTCAAAAAAAAAAAACTTTGTGCATGCTAAAAAAAAAAAAAAAAGAACTTTGTGCATGCTTACCTCTTTGTTATGACTAATGTGTAAATTGAATGAGTCTCATGTCTCCTTTTTTGAATCACACATTGATATTGTTATTCAATCCTCTCGCAATCGACGAAGAATAAGAGGTTTTATTTTTTATTAGTTGATCGTACCATCGCACCACGTATGATTTACCATGGTCGTAGGCTTGTAGCCTTGTAAGAGGTTTATTGCAGGTGATTGGTGAAGGTAGAATAGATAGACTACATCATTTTATGCGAAGTGCATATGTCACACATATTAGTAATATTTGGACTTTGGAGTAAATCCTATTTTCTCAAGATAATAATACTGTATTGAACTAATATAATGTGGAATTTTAGTTTATTAACATGATACAGAAAATTACTTCGTAATAATTTGGAACCCTGAACCACTTGCTAAACAGCGTGCTGGTTTTCTATTGGCTCTCTCCCAAGGCATAATTTGCAAAAAGAAAAAAAACAGGAAAATATACGCGGTTGTTTACTTTTTATCAACAAGTTCGTACAACACAAGTCAATTAAATTATACTAATTGATCTTTGCCCCCTTATTGTAACACACCTTTTTGCCCCCTTATTGTAACACACTTTTTTTTTTTTTTTTTTAAAAAAAAAAAAATAAATAAACAAAAAATAAACATATAACACATCTAATTTACCGAATCATTGCCATTTTTCTAAAGGCGGTATGTTTTTTTTTTTTTTTTTTTTTTTTTTTTTTTTTTTTTTAGTGGTAAGGAGAAGGGTTCTATCGGACCGGAACATTTCACATGTCCTCCCAACTGTACTCGAATTAGCGGGCTAGCTATTTTGGGAGTGGGGGGAAAGGTAAGGAATCCCTACCCCAAAGTGCCTCTAGTTGGGTTCCCACAAGACCAAGTTTTGCTTGGTAAAGTTTGTATGCTTACATGGCATATAATTTATACTTGTACATTCAGTAGTAAATAGATTATATGGAGTAATTAACTTAATTAGCTTAATGTATAAACTTTTAGCTCCTTATTATATATGCGTACAGTCCTAAAAGATAAAGTATATATCATTTTTCTTTAATAAGTTGGATGTAAAAACATATTTTGTATTTTTTTATTTTAGGTTTGTAAATTGGACCCTACTGAACTAGCTAGTAACTCTTACAGGTTAAATAATTCCAGCTACGCAAGTCAACGCTTGAAAGTAGAGGAGGAGGTAAAAGAATCCCTCTACGTCTAAGCAAATATAGTTGGCGGGACTCGAACTTGAAGGTGAGTCCCCCACCCAGTTCACCAAACTTGCTTGATAAAATGTATTTTGTATTTGGCCGTAAGAAAAAACATTTATCTATCAAGTGAACTTTTATTTTGTGTTTTTGGAACGTTCCAATTTCCAAATTAATGAGAATATTTTCCAATTGTTTTTAATTTTTATTAGGTTAAGTGTCATGAAAGAAAGAAACAAGGGAGGAGGTAGAATAAAGCTAGATGTGACGACATTCTATCGTGTAATTTGCCTATTAAACATCAATTAAAAAAAAATGCTATAAAGTATTACTTGAAAATCCATAATTTAAAAAAATTAAAAAAAATTGAAAAAATTAAAAATTATATATACATCCGAGTGCATGGTGAGCAAAAAAAAATAATATCAAATGAGCAAAAAAATCATGCACCACACCTACCTCTATATACAATTGGTGCATATATAAGGTTTTTTGGAGGAGATATTGAAAAATTTAATCCAGTACAATCAAGATCTCCAAAAGATGAGGAAATGTCTGACGTTGCAAAATTTGACAATTCAATTTGGTATAAATTGAATTGAATTGAATTGACAAGAAAATTATAACACCATCTATTGACCAAGGCAAAAGACCAAAGGCTGTGTCAAACTTGGACGAAAACAAATGCTGATTACCTTTATTACGGATTAATCTATAAAATTAATCTGGTATTAGACTATTAGTTAGTAGTAGTACTCCATACTATTTTTTGCTGGTTACAAATTAGTTGGTTCTCCAATTTCGATAAATGGTCAAAAAGCAAACTTAAAAAATTTTAGTACAATAATATAAATTGTTCATACTAACGTGGCAATTAGTATTTGCATCTTTTACCATCTATTCTACATATATATGTGAAAGTGATTAATGATATTTTTTTTTTTTTTGAAGAAATGATTAATGACATTAATTACTAGTACTATTATTTTTAGGGATCCCTTATTTTTATTATTCATTTATCCAGATGAGCAGATAAAAAGTTGGCGATTATAACTATTCATCCTGACTTCTAGACCAAAATTTAGGAGTCGGTTTTTAATAGTTGCCTACTCCGTATCTAACAAAAAGTTATATTATGCACATTCATTATTCATAGAATTACCAAATCCTTGATTTTTTTTCACTATGTCAAAAAGCAATACAACTTATTTCATGTGTTGCTTTTTCAGTGTGCTACTAGAAACCATAACCAAGTTTCTAGGTTTAAACTCATCTTATAAACGGTATTCCTATTAACAACAGAATAAAACTCTTTAGTCTTTATTCAAAGTATAGATTACTCCTTTATCATGACACATAATATAATATAACTACTGTAAATTGTGCATATTCATAAAATGCTAACTGTATAATACAACCATGCATTCTGGTATTCTTAATTAAAGACTATGCTGACCCAATATTATATTTCTAATATATCACGTATAATAATATTCCATGCAATTTGCAAATTTGCGGCTTCAATCATTTTTGGACTGCAAATTTCCTGACGAAAGGAATGGATTCGGCATAAATACTTCTTATTAAACAGTTGAATCAGATTCTAATACTACACATGACCACATTCTACGACTCATGGGTTGTACAACAAGAGATAGACTTGTTTTTGAAGTATCTTGTTCTTTAGAAAAATGACTTAAATATGTGATAAATAATAATGTTATTTACTCGTGTCGTGTCATGTCATGTCATGTAAGTAATTGTACATGTTTAAAGTGCTTGCTTATTTGACCGGTTATTTATGTTACAGATTAATAGATTGATCAAATTTACAAATACTCAAGTCTGTTTTGGAGGGCTAGGCATGGATCTCATTCGTTAAACCCATGGACTGGTCTAGGTTTAATCCATCCTTCAATCCCGATTTCACTGAAATTGGTAGTGGTGTGGGCAATAGATACCTTTTTTTTTTTTTTTTTTTGAATAGGGGCAATAGATACTTTCTTACAAGTAATAATAGTCCTTTTGGTAGGTGGTAATCTAGTAATATACCAAGGAGTGGATGTTTACTTATTTATTTTTATCAATTGCTTGCATAACAAAACATTCCTCAAAACCCAAATCTTGAAATAATAAATAATACGCTCATTAGTACCATACTTGCACTTTATGTTACCATCATCTCAAATTCTGACCAAATCAGAACAAAAGAAGAATAATCAAGAGAACAATTATACCTTCTTGGAAAAGAAGAAATCAAGAAAAAGAAAATCTAAACTTTTCCCTAATTGCTAAAATTATACAATAATATAATTACAATCACATATATAGCACTAACTACTACTAACGTACATGTCCTTTTAGTTGATTTGGCCAAAGACACTTATTAGCGAATAAAAAAAAGACACTTGTCAATATTGCATTGAAAAAGTTCCCTCCAAAAGTACCTTCTTAAAATAAATCATTGTTACTTAGGGAAAAAAAATTATATCTAAATTATGACATTTGTTTTACATAAAATATAATTCCTTTCCAAAAAATTAAACTGTCCATTATAACTGTTACATGTAATTTAAATATTGTCTCTTCTTTTATTTTTAATATACACCATATTTTTAATATTCAAGTCATTCTATTTAAGTATATAATTTTTATAATATTATTTTCAAAAGTATTTAACAACCGTGCATTGCACGGGATTTAACCTAGTTAATTAATATGGTCAAAATTCATATTACACGTGTCTTCTCCTTATACTTGTCTTGTACAAAACACACTAAATAAAAATTACAAAAATTTAATTCCTTTTTGCTTTGTCTAGATTCTAGGACTTTATTCTATAGTAGTAATAATAATAATACAAAGAAGAGTATAAACTTAGACGCGGAAATTTGCAAACTTAATTTTCAAATATTTTTATATTCCATAGAATAATAGAAAAAATAATTTACTTATTCAAACCATTCCCCTCCCACCTAAATTTTCATATAAATACCCAAACACCCTCCTCATATTCCTCAATCAAAATACTAAGCTTACCAAACCTAACAGAAGAAAATTTAGCTACCATTATCTCTTCCTCTTAAAAATTTATTCTATTTGCAAAATATCAAGCTATTCAACCATGGTACTTTCGCATGCAGTCTCGAATGGAGATGCTTATATTCAGTCTGCCTTTGCCTCACGACATCTCCAAGCTCCACTACCAAGGTACGTATGGAGTTACTAGCATGTATTGTTTGATACTAACGTAGCTATGAGCCTATGAGTTACATGGTTTTAAATTTGTGTTCGTGTCATGTCAGGTTCAATATGCCTGAAAATTCGATACCAAAGGAGGCGGCGTACCAAATAATAAACGATGAGCTGATGCTAGACGGGAATCCAAGGCTGAATCTAGCGTCATTTGTAACGACATGGATGGAACCAGAGTGTGATAAACTAATGATGGATGCCATTAACAAGAACTATGTTGACATGGATGAGTATCCTGTCACAACTGAGCTTCAGGTTATAATTTTAACCAGTACTAAGTATTTTTTTTGTCTTTAATTTCACGTTTTATGTAATGTTTTAGAAGGGTTAAAAATTCAATGGTTTGAGTTTGACTAGCTTAATCTTATTTTTCTTGGTCAACTTAAAACAATAGGCATTTGAGAAATTAAATAAATACTTTTGTAGACCACAGAACATATAGGAGGATTGACCCTTTTCAACAATTAAAAAATAAAAAATAATGCACAAAATTAAAATATTAATTCGAGTTTTGTTTTTTGTCTCCCTAAAAGACTGCATAAATCATTAGGATGATTTTCACTAATCCAATGGTCCAAGGACTAGAATATTAAGAAGGCTTAATAGTATCAATTGTTTACAAAATTTTACATAATATTATTTACATTAATGTAAGCAGAATAGGTGTGTGAACATGATAGCAAGGCTGTTCAACGCTCCACTTGAGGATTCAGAGGCAGCTGTCGGAGTTGGAACAGTAGGCTCGTCTGAGGCCATAATGCTAGCCGGGCTTGCCTTCAAGAGGCGGTGGCAGAACAAGCGCAAGGCTCAAGGTTTACCTTATGACAAGCCCAACATTGTCACTGGCGCCAACGTTCAGGTATATATAGTACCTATCTTGAAACACAATTGAACCATTCAACTATTTAAGCAAGTTGAACAATGAGTGCAGGCACACAGATACAAGTACTCTGTACATTCTAAGCTTAATGCCTTATTTCTTCTCTCATCATTTTGTGTAGGTGTGCTGGGAAAAATTTGCTAGGTACTTTGAAGTAGAACTGAAAGAAGTGAAGCTAAGTGAAGGATATTATGTGATGGACCCTGTAAAGGCTGTGGAAATGGTGGATGAGAACACCATATGTGTCGCCGCCATTCTTGGCTCTACTCTCAATGGAGAGTTTGAAGATGTTAAGCTATTGAATGATCTTTTGCTAGAAAAGAACAAGAAAACTGGGTATACACCTTCACTTTCTAGCTATTTTTTCATGCTCACATTATAACTACTACTGCCTCCGTCCCAGTTTTATAGTCCACTTTGGAATCCGTGACTATGAAATTCAAGTAGACTTAGAAGGTGAAATATTAAGCATCATCTGCAGACCCACAAAAAATGTAATACATGGACTAAACATAGAGTTTGCAGGTGGGATACTCCGATACATGTGGATGCAGCGAGTGGTGGATTTATTGCACCCTTCCTCTACCCAGAGCTAGAATGGGACTTCAGGCTTCCCCTGGTGAAGAGCATAAATGTAAGTGGTCATAAATATGGCCTTGTTTACGCTGGCATCGGATGGGCTATCTGGAGGAGCAAGGAAGACTTGCCTGAAGAGCTCATCTTCCATATCAATTACCTGGGAGCAGACCAGCCTACGTTCACTCTCAACTTCTCCAAAGGTAATTTTTTCGCCAATCATGATTCCAAAACGTGTCATTCTCCTACAGTTTGTTCCAGCTCAAATTTTTGGGAAGTCTCACTAGATGGTATGGCAACTAATATGCAGGATCAAGTCAAGTCATTGCTCAATATTATCAGCTAATCCGCCTTGGCTTTGAAGGGTATCAAAATGTGATGAAGAACTGCCAAGAAAATGCAATGGTTTTAAAGGCTGGCCTAGAAAAGACGGGGCGATTCACCATTGCATCTAAAGACAATGGTGTCCCTCTAGTGGCCTTCTCTCTTAAGGACAACACCCTCCATAACGAGTTTGAGGTTTCAGAGATGCTAAGGAGATTTGGGTGGATAGTTCCAGCATACACCATGCCAGCTGATGCACAGCATGTGACAGTGCTCCGTGTTGTAGTTCGGGAAGATTTCTCCCGAACTCTCGCTGAGCGGCTTGTGCTCGACATCACAAAGGTGCTCAACCAGCTTGATCACCTCCCTTCCAAGAATAGTCAAGGTCAAAGCCATCATGATATGGGGAAGAATGGAATTATCAAAGTGCCTAAGAAAAGTGCACTTGAGACACAAAGGGAGATCACTGATGTATGGAAGAAGTTTGTCATGGCCAGGAAATCCAGCAAAGTCTGCTAGATATTTTGTTTTTCTGTTTCCAGAGAATAGAATTCAAGTCTTTGTTTTTTAGTTTTTTTATTACTACAATAATTTTTTTACGGAAATGTACCAGATAAGGGGTATTAATATTAATTTGACTTAATTTCCTTTCTCTGTAAGATACAGTAGTATTTTCATCTCCAAAAAAAATAAAAAAGCAATATAGAGTATTTCTTTCCCTTACTCAAAGAACTGGTCTATTACATCCAATGAAAGGGGAAACAAATGCACAAACCAAAGGGATACGAACGGAGTACATTAAAAGCCAGGGAAAATAAGCAGTTCAGGAAAAAAAAGAAAAAAATGCATCAAATGATTGGCACCACAACAGATATTAAAGCTCACATTAGCAAGTATTTCAATATGTACACAAAAAAAAAAAAAAAAAAAAAAAAAAAAAAAAAAAAAAATGAAACCAGACATCATATTTACAAGTTACACTTTGGATGCTAGAAGTTGTACATGCTAAACGTGAAAATAAATTGGCAACTTCTACCTAATGAAACAGGCAGAGAGGGGGGGGGGGGTAAGGGGGAACAATGGACGAGGCGTAAGGTAGAGAGAGAGATACCTTTATAGAGGTTAAAAAAATATTTACACGTGTTGGATATAAATTTGTATAAAAGTCATAGAAGTCTCATAGCACCTTCAACATTAAAAGCCTCTGAACTTCTGAGGCGGATGAGGCACCCTCCACAATCTAACCAGGAGAAGAAATACATTAACAGGTCAAACTTTTGCTGCACAAAAATGTTAACAGACGAAAATAGACCACCATAAAATTAATCAAAGGAGATGCAAATTTTCCTGTAAAATGACAAGTCAATGTCCAAGAAACTATAGTACGAGTAGATATGAATGTTTGGCTAGATTTGGATGCCAGACCTCAAAACCAGCTTTAGAGTATAATTCTTGAGCAGCCTTGTTGTCTAAATTAACATGAACAAACAGTTGCTTCATACCTAGAAAAACAAGAAACAATATATTAAATTATCAATAAAGTAGAGAAAACAGGCACAAGTGTCTCTTAAGAAGAAATTGACAAGCATTACCTGATGTGACAGCAACATCGGTGGCCAAATGAAGCAAATTTGAAGCAATTCCCTGGCGCCGAACAAATTTTGAAACACAAACATTAGCAACATACGCATACTTGTGTGCATCAAAGGGCACCTGACTTGCCAAGATTCCAGATGACCTCTTTGTCTCCTATAATAATAAGGCGGATAAGAGATAAATAGAAGGAGAACTGTGGGGTTCAGATCGTAAAACCATATTGAACTTGAAAAGACCTACCCCTGGATATATTTCTCCTTGCAAAAATTGCCGTATGCTTAAATCTAGAGTTCCAACAACACTGTTAAGCACAGTTCTCCTGACATTTTTCTCCTCCCTTTTCATCTAATCACACAAAAAAAAAATTGCCAAACATAAGTGCAGAGCAAGAAGACATGAATAGAGGCAGCATTACTGCATATAACCAGTCAAAACATATACTAATGGTATACTCACAGCATAAAGGTTGGACTTGAATCACTTGATTCAATCCAGTGTAACTAGGGCTTCCTAGTCATGAATTACTCGTTGGCTTCAGTAAAATACACACATATATGACATAAATATTCAAAGGGCTATAATAACATACCAGTAGAGACACGCTACTAATAATTATATAGAATAAATTAGGAGCTTATTACGTACTGCGACTAGACAGAGGCACTTTAGGGAGTTTCCATCTTGTCCAGAGCATCGACTTTTCAGTGCATAGAATTCCTGTAATATGAGACAAAAAAAAACTGAGTCATTTCCATTCATGGAAGAAAAAAAATGCTAACAGATTCTACCATCAAAATGTCTGCGATTCAAATCCCCCCTGTAGCTTTTGCACATCACTTGTGGAAAATTAAAAAAGGCCAGAATCCCGAACATGAACAAGCAGCAGACTATCCAGCAACAAAGTTCTCCCTAAGAAGAATACATTGGCTCAAATATATACATGCAACCTAACTCCATCTTAATTTAAGTGTATCAGGGAAAAACTTTATGTGTGATTTGGCAAGCAAAGTAACATCCAAATGTCTATAGTAATTCAATCTCATCTCCAAACTTGAACCTTTCTTCATTAATGTCCATCCAAATGTCCTACCCCCAAATGGTAATGGATTATAATGAAAATTTGTGATTAAAGAGATAATTTAGAGTAAGCTTGCATAACCATTGGAATAGATATTGATTTTACTTACAGAGTAAATAATATAATTACCACCATTTATAAACCCCTTACCATACTGGCCAATGGCCATAAAATGAAGTGACTACAAAAACACTCATCCATTATTTCAAATGCAAATTAATGTTTGCACCAAAAAAACAATGCAAATTAATGTCGGCACCTTAAAAGTTAAAACCATTCTCATTCCTCTAGAATGATCCCTGTTCAATAACCACCTGAGTATATATAAAGCACCCATGGCTCCTCATGCATAAGCCAACTTCAGAAAAAATAGCGGCATTATAAATTCTGATTATAACCCATCCCAAAATTTCAATTCAATCTTGATTAAGGAATATAGTTCCTTTGTTACATTCAATCACATTATCACAGTCTCCTCCAGAAAATTCACCTGCTCTGCATACTTTCTTTTGAATGCTTCTATGTGCCTGAAAGAACAAGAACATAACGAAAACTGAGACCCAAAATAAAATTATCTAAAGTTAAAGACGGAAGCAGCAACTTGGCAACAGAGAAGAGAGAGGTACACCAAATGCATACCCTCTATGAAAAAATGGCTTACAAGGTTCAAAATGGATATAGAAACTAACCGCATGTATGATACAGATTCCCAATGAGCTTCTGCACGCAACCATGCTGCTGTCTGCCATACAGAAGAGGAAAATTGCACATCTAAATTAAAGGCTCAGTAACCAAGTTTATGATATACTGAGGGGAAAAAGAAAACAAAACAAACCCAGTATTCTTCATCAAGAACAGCTTCACGAGCCAGAAATCGACCAAATTTATGCCTACGTAATCCATCACACTCCTTGTCACAAGGCTGCAACCTGTTGAAAGAAAGCTCAGGTAGCCTCTGACTGTCACTAGTCGACACAGCAGAGTGCTGTAAACTCTGACTGTTATTGCAATGTACTTCTACTGATTTCCATCTTGAACATGAATAAGGAAAGTTTTCTCTGACAGGAAATAGATGACATTCACATCAGATATAAAATCCCCAATAACAATCGTAAGAAAGATCGATTAAAAGTCCATGAGAAAAAGTCAGCATTCTATTTTCACAGTTTTCCAGGATCAGAGAAACAGGGAAACTATCAATTCGACAATTCCCTTTACAAAAAGGTTGAGAAGGGAATGAAATCCTTGATGATCAAATACTTACTATCCACATTGTAATCGTAATCTTCAAAAGCCACGTTACAACGAACCCGTCTTAGAGTTTGGACTACCGAGGCATCTAAATCATAATGAGTTGGAGCTTGGGCAGTAAGCAACTTATTAACTAAAATAAGGAACATCTTCTAGTGGATTATTTTTAATCACTTGCTTTATATGTCTATCGATATTATTAATGTCTTCGAGTTTTATGCAATTCTTTCTCATTGCAATTTGCAATATGACTTTGCAATATGACAAGTCTCAATTCCAAAGCTCTACCACAAGTATAATTAGGCTTAAGATTTATCAGCATAACATGTAAATTACAGCAAGAATCAATCTAAACAGGCAGCACTTCATTGAAATCGACATACTAGGACAGTAGGACACAGACAGGCATAAATTTCATCCCTACCGAGCTAATTACATCACTCTAAATAAATTATATTCACTAATCAGCAACTAATCAATAGCAATGTGATGGCATAATTATCACAAAAATGACATTCAACCTTCTCATCAATCATAACATCCAATTAAAACTTTACCAAATTTCGATTAGGAGATACAATTTCCCTTTCACTAAATACTTTCCTATCCATCACATAAATTCACACAAATATCCAAATTAAGCAAAAAAATCAATTATTGCTAAACCCACCACAACCTGAAGAAAAACCCATCATAAAATTCTGACAAAATAGAAAATTCAATAACTTCCTCATTATAATCATAAAACAAAATGCAATTACTCAAACCAAAATCATAATCAATCAAAACTACTCGACAAGATAATTAAAAATCGAACCCCACAAAAATTACCTAAAAATAAAACTTACCCAAAAGTTGAGGGGATTCTAAGAATGCCAATATGGGTATTATTGGGTTTGATAACAGGAGGAATTTCCGCTCGAATTTGGTGAAAAATTGAACCTTGAAATTCTACTTCCATTTCTCTCTCTAAAAAATTGTAGTAGTATGACTAAAAAATTCAGAAAACTTTGGCTGATTTTCAGTCCCATTTATAAAAGCTGAGATGGATAAAGGTCATGCATCAGCATGATATGGGCAAACAAAATGGATATATTGATTTAGATTTCATATTTTTGCACTTGGATAAGGGGAAGAATGACAAAAAGGGTTTATCTTGTTTTGGGTAAAATTTAATTCTTTCATGTTGTCAGTAGGTTACTTTTATTCCGCAGTATCCAGTAAGGATGGCAGTTGGCTATAACTTTGCATATTTCGCACCAAATCCGCCCCAATTGGAGTGGGTATGAAGACTTTGATAGTAGTGGGCTGATATATAAATTACTCCTTTCGTCCCATTATTATATGCCTGTATTTCATTTTGGGTATTGATTAGGGGATTTTTATCCTCCAATCACCTTCTGACAAGTGGACCAACCAGGTTCCGCCACGTGTCCTTCACGTAGGCCAATAGGAGCCTGCCACGTGTCAATCACAGATACGTCCTCTGCGGACCAATTGAGACACGCCACGTGTCCACCCATGCCAAATGGGAAAACCGGCCTCCAAGGCCCAATCCTGTTTAGAGGCCCGGTCAGCCCTAGGTTTACCCTAAACCTAGAGAGTGGCACGCTTCTCAAGACTATAAATACTCTTCTTAATCCTCATTAAGGGGAGAGAGAGAAAAAGACAGAGAACTCTAATAACACACGGATTATACATTAAACACTCTCACCTAGAGAGACTAAACCACTTTAATTTCCGCACTCATTACTCCTTAATCAGGTACTAACTTGACCGTTGGAGGCGGAGCTCTCAGGAGTCTCCGTTATTTTGCAGGTGCAGGCGGCCGGTTCCAGTCTCGGTGTTGTAACTCTCCCGCAGGACATCAGAAAAACCCGAAACATTTGGCGCCGTCTGTGGGGAGAGTACTTCTGAGATGGCATCCAAGTCTGTACCGACTCCTGAAGAGAGGCGTCCCCTAAACGACCCTCAAGTTCAGTCGGACCATGACACCGAAAGTGAATTTGAAGTGGAAACTCATACAGCTCCAGACGGGACCCTAAGGGCCCGACGTACCCGTCATACCGAAAGGAGGGAACGGGAGCATCTTCAAACAGTAAGCGAGCCAGCAGGCGCCCAGCCTGCTCGGCAACAGCCGACTGATGGGTCTGCTCCCATCACAAGGAACGAACTCATGACCTTCATGAGGGGCTTCAAGGGAGAGATTCAAGAATTGATCAACAAACAGCCGCCTGCTTCAGTCAGAGAGCAGTCGGCCAAAAAACCTTCCACTTCACTGAAGAGGAAGCCAGTTCAAGGGCGAGAGGCGACTCCTCATCCTAAATCCAAGAAGCGGGAGCCACTTGCTCTTGATTTCACAAAATTCCGTTATCCTACGGGAAATAGGAAACCTGTTCGTCACATTCAGGCGGACGGGTCGAAGAAAACATACACAGACGCTCGTCTGTTGTTAGAACAGAAGAAGAGTGACCGACTGTCAGAGTCGGCCTCTACTTCAAATTTTCAAGAAAGTTTACAAAATACCTCGATGAGGCATACTCAGTCGTACCATGAGAGTCAGTCAGGCGGTATCTCCCGTCAGTCCGGCTTTCATAGTGCCCAGGCGGTACCAAACTTACCATTTGTGCCGCAACAACAGTATTTTATGCAGCCACCTCCATTTGGTGGACCTGCAGCAAAAAACGTCCAACCTATGGACTGGCAGCTACGGTTGCTTAGACTTGGTGAACAGCCGTCGGCCTTCTCCAAGGAAATTACTGAAGCCGCTCAGCCGGCCAAAGTAAAAAATGTACTAGTAGGCGCCTATGACGGCACTACTAACCCAGAGGACCATCTGATGGCATTCACCAACCTGATGTACCTTCAAGGGTTGGATGATCCCACTTGGTGCAAGTGTTTCCCAGCGACTCTCAAGGGAATCGCACAGCAATGGTTCGGCAACCTGCCGACTGGTTGTGTAAACAGCTTCAGGACGCTTGCTTACTTGTTTGCCTCCAACTTCGCCATGAACATCCCTGCGAAGAAAACGACCCTTGATTTGGGAACAATTCAGCAGGGTGAGAAGGAGGGGCTTCGTTCTTACATCAGACGGTTCAACCTGATGAGAATACAGATTCAAGGGTTACCGGATGAGGTAGCTTATACTGACTTTTTTAGAGGTCTCAAAGACGGGTCTACCTTCAAATTTGACTTAGTTCGAAAAAGGGTGGCGACTCTTCAAGAGGCCTTGATTGAAGCAGAAGCCTATATACAGGCGACTGATCTGTGTACGATAAAACAGTCGGACGGGAAAAGGTTCGATAAAAGAGAAGGACGACAGAAACAGTCGTCTAACAAAGAGGAGAAAAGAAAAGAGGTCTGGGCGGCTGATTCCTCTAAACAGCCGGCCCAGAAGAAGAAAAAAGAATTCAAACCATACTCCCCAAAGTATGTGTTTAACAAGGATAACCAGTTTATCCTAAAAGAAATTAAGGGACGGTTCTCAATTGAGAAACCGGTCCCCATGAAGGGTTCTGCAAACAATCGGAACCAAGACAAAATCTGTGCTTATCATGATGACGTTGGTCACCACACCAATGACTGCATCAGTCTCATGCGGTACCTAGACCGCTTGGCTGAGCAAGGTGATCTTGACACTTATGTCAAGAAATCTACGGGGAACACTTCCTCAAAAAAGCAGTCGGCCAAAAAGAATCAACAGGCCGACAGCTCCAATACAGATGATGCAGTCGTCTACACCATTGCAGGCGGCTTCTCAGGAGGCGGCCCCACTATTAGGGGCAACAAAGATAATATAAGGCGGTTAGATGTAAATTCCGTTCACCAAGAACGGCCGTCCAAATATACATTTCTTGAGATTGTCATCACTGAAGAGGATCTAGGAGGGGTAAGGGGGCCGCATGACGACCCTCTCGTTATTGAATGTAAAGTGGCCAACCAGAGAGTTGGCCGAATCCTCATAGATACCGGGAGCTCCTCAGATCTCATCAGCAGCAAATGTCTGTCAAAACTGAAATATCAGACGGACTGCATACATCCGGCCTCTCACCCTTTAATAGGGTTTGGAGGAGGAGTCGTCCACCCACTGGGACGAGTAGATTTACCCATTCGCCTGGGCGAAAAAGGGGAAGGACGACACATGGTAGTCCGGTTCCTGGTAATAGAGGAACTCTCGGCCTACAACATGATTCTGGGTCGACCAACCCTGAATAATTCCAAGGCTGTTATAATCCCGTCTCTTATGCTGCTTAAGTTTGAGAGGGATAATGGAACAGTCGGCTCCCTAAGGGGAGATCAGAGGATGGCCCGAGAGTGTTATCTCTCGGATGTCAAGCCCACTGTTATGGCCACTGGGTCAAGTGGAGAAAAAACAGACCTTGACAATGTCAGGGTGAGTGCGCCTGTTCAAGAAACAGGCGACAAAAAGAGAAAGGCGTCCCAGACAGAGTCCGCAAGAAAAGCAAGAAAATAGCAATCATTGGCAGAGGAGCGGCCGGATGAGTTCCGCCCTCAGCCGGCTGGTGAGCATGCAGACCTGATCTTAGACGACTCACGTCCTGACCGAACAGTCAAAGTTGGGACGACTGCTCTGAGAAACCTTGGTGACGACTTTCACAACCTATTGAAAGAATACAAGGACATCTTTGCATTTGAATTCCATGAAATGCCAGGCATTAGTCCTGATCTGGCAGTACATAAACTCGCTGTGGATCCGAAAAAGAAGCCGGTACGGCAAAAGAAGCGGAACCATGGCGAAGAAAGAAGTCAGGCGGCAGCCGCCGAAGTTAAAAAATTACTTGATGCAGGGTTCATTCGGCAATGTTACTTCCCAGACTGGGTTGCAAATGTGGTTCTTGTTAAAAAGCCGAATGGTACCTGGCGAATGTGTGTAGACTACACAGACTTGAATAAGGCGTGCCCCAAAGACAGTTACCCTCTGCCTAAAATTGATAGCCTGGTCGACTCAACAGCCGGCCATGCTTTGATGAGCTTTATGGACGCCTACTCTGGTTTCCATCAAATTCCTTTGTGGAAGAAAGATCAGGAGAAGACGGCCTTCGTCACTGATCAGGGGTTATACTGTTACACGGTCATGCCGTTTGGTCTTAAGAATGCCCCGGCCACCTTCCAACGTATGATAAACACTGTGTTCTTTGATCAACTTGGGAGAAATGTCGAGGCATATATTGATGATATGATTGTCAAGTCTAAACTTCAGACAGATCATCTGACGGACCTCCGAGAAACTTTCGCCACACTCAGGCGGCACCATGTCATGCTCAATCCCAAGAAATGTGTCTTTGGAGTTGAGTCTGGGAAATTTCTCGGATTCCTTATCAATCAGAGAGGAATAGAGGCGAACCCTGAGAAGGTACAGGCGGTCATCGACATGCAGTCGCCCCGTACCGTCCGAGAGGTTCAGAAATTAACAGGTTGTCTGGCGGCCTTGGGGAGATTCCTAAGCCGATCAGGCGACAAATGCCTATACTTTTTCCAGGCAATTAAGAAAAAGGCAAGGTTTGAATGGGGGCCGGATGCTGAGGCCGCCTTCCAAAAATTAAAAGTTCACTTGCATTCCTTGCCGAGGCTGGTCAGCCCTTTGCCCAAAGAGGATCTCTACATGTACCTGGCCGTCTCTGATCATGCATTAAGCGCTGTGCTCCTTGCTGAAAGGGACGGCTGTCAGCTCCCGGTCTACTTTGTCAGTCACGTACTGAAAAATGCCGAGTTGAGGTATCCCCTAGTGGAGAAATTTGGTCTTGCACTCTTCGTGGCTGCTAAAAAATTGAAGCCCTACTTTTTGGCACATGCAGTCGTCGTGTATACCGACCAACCAATCAAGCGGCCCCTTACCGTCATGGAGTCGTCAGGACGAATGATCAAATGGGCCATAGAAATTCAGAGCCTCGAAGTTACTTTCGAGCCTAGAAAAGCAGTGAAGGGGCAAGCCTTTGCTGACTTTATTGTAGAGATGACTCGTCCTCCTGACTCTCAAGTTCCAGACCAAGTCTGGAAGGTATATGTGGACGAAAGCTCTACTTCAAATGGTTGTGGAGCAGGCGTCGTATGTCAATCTCCAGAGGGCGACAGGTTCGAGTATGCTCTACGCTTCAGTTTTCAGGCTTCAAACAATGAGGCAGAATATGAAGCTTTACTAGCCGGGATCCGCATGTGCAAGGCGGCAGGGGCAAGAAAAATAGACGCCTGTTCTGATTCACAATTGATAGTAAGTCAGTACAATGGCGAATACGA